TTGTATGTGTGTGCGCACCTGTGCGTGTGTAAATTTGTATGTGTGTGCGTGGGTGCGCGTGTGATTGTGCGTGCGCATGCCCGTATGTGTGTGAATGCGGTGTGTGCGCGCGTGTGTGCAAATATTTGACAACGGGAGGTGTAACCCTGCCCGCCGCCGTCCACTAACTTTCAAGAAAATATATCTTCAAAATTACTCAATGCATTTTGCTTCTTTTTTTTTAAAGAATTTGACTTATTATTGATGCTTCTAACCAGAATGATATTTTCAAAAATAATATCTAAATAAGTGAAATTGTGTGTCATTTTAAGGTAAAATTTCAGATTTTATATATATTTGGATACAATTTTTTTTAAACAAATAATGGTATATGACTCGGCTCTAAATATCAGTATTTTTCGTTTACTGTAAATACATCCTCAAATAAAAGTTAGAGATAAATGGTTAAACCGCCATCCACAAATCAGACTGTACTCCGTCTGGAGGACGAGTAATAGCTAGTGTACTATATTATCCTATATTATATAATATCCTATATTATCTTACTTCTGCCGCCAACAGGTGGCATTCTTGTCAACAGGCAAAGTAGAATACCCGGCCTTCTAGCAAGGCAGCAGTTCAGCCGATAGCAGCAGACAATTTTATGTTATGTTCAAATAACACGCGCGCTTAGATATGTACGCTTCCGGCGGTCTGTCTCTCCGATCCACAGTTCATGTATTTTGTGCTGTTGAATTTTTATCTAACACGCTACTGGAGCGCGACGCCTCGACCTATTGTTTGACCGATTGTATGTCGCTGTAGTGTCTATCTTTCTAGGTTTTACTTCGTCAACCAGTATTTTTTATTTCAGCCATCTACATATATAATAGCTCCCGGTAATGCAATTCAACCGAAATGCTGCCTTCTTAGACAATAACTGCCTTGCTGGATTTTCCCAAACACTCTGCTGTAGGCAAAAGCAATATTTTCGATGTAGCCTGTGATAATCAGCCTCCGCTTAGCCGCTCTATAAAAAATGCAATAATTCTTTCACCGCATTGAAATAGCAGACCAAAAAAAACATGACCGCACGACAATAGCGGTTCATTGCAGAGAGGCAGCGTCTACTGATACCCCACACCTGCAACGTGCCCATATACCTTGCTATGCAACACACAATGCGCACGTCCACACAGCCCAACTACAATAATAGCAGTACGGGTATAGAACTTGTGTAGTGTTGTAAGTTGTATAGTACGAAACGATGTAGCAGAGAAAAATATAGTCAAGAGTCCATAATAGAAAAAAACATAAATAGATTTTTCTATTATGGACTCTTAATATAAAAAAATAAAGAAATTAAAGAAATAAAAAAGAAAATAAAGTTCAATACCCAACGCGTCGAGTCGGCGAATGTAATTCTCGCGCCATCATAGCTGGTAATGATTATGGGTATGATGCATGCATTTAGACGA